TAGACAAAAAAAGTTTACTCACTACAAAGATGCAACTTCTTTTCAGTGCATTTCAATTGCACCTCGACTGGTGACAACCAAAAATAGTTCGTTAAAGACACTGGAACAAGGAAGGAAATATTTATCAGAAAGAGCAATAGAAATGCAGAAGAATGTGTAGCTCTGTTTTATAGATTATCCAAAACCATTTGATAAAATATATCAAAAAGAACCGTTGGATATTTTGAACCGACATATATGGGAAGAATATTCGAATAACCCAGAACCTATACTAACAGAAAACATACAGATAGAAAATGAGTTCAGTGATTATATATAAATAGAAAGGGGGTATAAGACAAGGATGTGTCTTCTCACCGGACTTATTCAACCCATAGAGGGAGAGTATTCTGAGAGAATCAGAAGTCTTATAAGGATTCATTATTGGCGGCCACCATCTGAACAACATAAGATTTTCAGATTACACAGTGTTGATAGAAAACCCAGAAATGAAACTACAAGATCCCCGACAACGGATGGTATAATGGATAGGGGCTCGAAATTTTAGTCGGAAAAATGTTTTCCAATTTCTGTTGGGTTCGTCATATTCACTTATGTGCAAATATATTTTGGACAACCTTTTCTCCCGCAGCTATGGGTTAATTATTAAGACCAATCACTAAATTATTATTACCTCAAAAGAAAAAAAATTCTTACAGTCTAAAAATATTTTCCAGCTTTAAATAACCTGAAAAGGGTTCATAAGCCGTAGAAAACGAATCCATCCAGGTTTAGGACATATAACAAAAAAATATTAAGAGCTACAAAGGATAGGAAATTGTGGAGAGCCATCGTCGTCTACGTTCTGAAAGTATATGGGACATAGAAGAAGAAGAAGATTTTTTTAAAAGCTACTGATGTTCTATCCAGCGTTGCGAATTTCGAATGAATCTAAAGTAGCCGCAAAATGGTATCATTTAAATATTTAATCCTAGCGTGTGCCCCACTCCCAAGAGAGAAGGTCTCGGAAAAAGAAAGAAAGAAAAAAAGAAGAGCTCAGAAAGAGAACGAAAGAAGACTTCGAAAGAAAGAAAGAAAGAAAGAAAGAAAGAAAGAAAGAAAGAAAGAAAGAAAGAAAGAAAGGAAAAAAGAAACAAAGAAAGAAAGAAAGAAAGAAAGACGGTTTCAGAAAAAGAAAGAAAGGAAAAAAGAAAGAAAAGGAAAGACGAAGACTTAAGAAAAAAGAAAAAAAAAGAGCTCAGAAAGAGAACGAAAGAAGACTTAGAAAGAAAGAAAGAAAGAAAGAAAGAAAGACGGTTTCAGAAAAAGAAAGAAAAGAAAAAAGAAAGGCTCAAAAAAGACAGACTACTTAAGATAGAAAGAAAAAATAAGAGCTCAGAAAAAGAAAGAAAGAAGTCTTAAAGAAAGAAAGAAAGAAAGAAAGAAAGGAGAAAAAACAAACTTAAGAAAGAAAGAAAGACGGTCTTAGAAAAAGAAAGAAAGAAAAAAAGAAAGAAGGGATCAGAAAAAGAAAGAAAGAAGACTTATGAAAGAAAAAAAGAAAGAAAAAAGATCTCAGAAAAAGAAAGAAAAAAGATTTAAAAAAGAAAGAACGGCTCAAAAAAGGAAGAACGAAGACTTAAGAAAGAATGAACGAAAGAAAGAAACAAACAAACAATGTAAACAGACTTAAGAAAGAAAGAAAGAAAGAAAGAAAATATTTAATTGAAAGAAAAAATGCAATAGGAAACGAAAAGAAGAAAGAATGAAAGATTATGCAAAAAGTTAACAAAAGTGAACAAAATGCATAAAGAAAACAAGAAAATAAAAAGTAAACGAACGAAAGAAAATATTTAATTGAAAGAAAAAGAGAAATATCTAAAAGAAAGAAAGAAAGCAAACTTAAGAAAAAAAGAAAGAAAGAAAAAAGAAAGAAAAAAAAGAAAGAAAGAAAAAAGAAAGAAAGAAAAAAGAAAGAAAGACGGTGTCAGAAAAAAAGAAAAGAAAGAAAGCTAGAACTGGCGATTTTGTGACAGAACAAGCAAGAGAAAACCTTCTTTATGCATCTGCTGTATACATATGTCCAAGCAGGGGAAGATGTATTCTGCCTTCTCGGTCTGTCAATTAGTAAACATTTGTCTGCCTCTTTATTTTCAGTAGGACACCAGAATATCGATGAAAAATAGCTTTGTCGCATTGTATAATAGCTGTCATAATCATTATTTCTCTGCCGTCACCTTCTTCCAACTTATTCTCACTTCCGGAGAAGGACATAAGGTCACTTCCGGAACGTGTCGCTTGAGACGATCAAGAGCTGTTAAGTTATCGCATGAACGAGATTCGAAAAATGCCGTAAACATAAATAACAGATTTTTTTTTTCTCTTTGATTTTCCGTCTGACTGACTGTCTCTTTAATGGTGGCAACTTTTAACGGAACGGTTATTATTGTTCTTTTATTTTCTATTCATTTCAAGTTAGCTTTTTTTAAAAAAAATAAAATAGCAGGAAGGTTGAAATATGGAATGATGGGAATTGTCTGTGTTTATATTTATTGTTCAAAAGTGTGAAATCGGTGTAGATAAGAAAAGTGTTAATTACACCATTGAAAGAGTGGGATTGAAAGGGAGATAACTGTAAAAAGTTATGGAAATAAAAAGAAAGAAACAAACAAACAAACAAATAAAATCGAAAAAGAAAAAAAGGAATAAGAAAGAAAAAACTCAGAAAAAGAAAGTCGGCTTAAGAATGAAATACAAAAGACGAAAAAGGAAAGAAAAAGGCATAAAAAAGGAAAAAAAGATAGATGGAAAGAAAGAAAAATGGTAAAGGGCCTCAGAAAGAAAGGTTTAAGAAAGGAAAAAAGGAAGCCATTTTGGCTTGCTTTCCGCCTCAGAAAAAAAGTAGGCTTAAGAGAGGCACAAAGAAAAGTGAAAATAAATACAAAGAAAGTATGTTTCCGAAAAAAATAAAGACGGTCGAAAAAGGACCAAAAAAAAAAAGAAAGAAAGAAAGTTTATGAAAGATAGAAAGAAAGAAACCGAACGAAGGCAAAAAAAAAAAGCCTAAGGAAAAAAAAATGAAGAATTGAGACCTAAGAAGGAAAGCGAAAGAAATATAAAAAAAAAGAAGGCGAAGAAAAGAAGGCGAAGAAAAGAAGGCGAAGAAAGATAAAAAGAAATTCACAATTATATGTCTGAAGAACATGCTGTCGATGGCTTGCGAGAGCAGCACGAACCATATTGTGAAGGAGAGATATAAGGATTGAGATCTTTGACTCACATAAAGTGTAATCTTTCACCAGTGCATTTTCTATTCTATTAAATAAATATTAGGCATGTTCAACGATCCCCTGCGTTCTTTTTTGAATTGAGAGTTTTCATTCTGTTAGATTGGTGGTGGGGGGTACCTTCGGCGTGGTGGAATGGTTAAAAAGTATATCTCGTTAGAACAATTACGACTGAGTAGTGAGTTCGATCCTAACTGGGTGCCTCGTACTTTCAGCCTTATGCTGCATCTTAGAAAATTCAACATTCTCTTAGATTGGTTGCCACCGACAGCTAGAGAATTCAGTCCTTCCGATATAATCCATAGCTGAAGAGAGACGCAATTCATTCATGTGTGTCTGTGTGTGTCTGTGTGTGTGAGACAGAGAGAGAGAGAGAGAGGGAAAAAGAGGCAAAGAAACAGAGATACACTCAAGCTGAATCCACACAAACAACATTTCGTGACAGCATCTAAATTCATAATAATCTTCTATCAACTATTGGATGAGTTTTCGTATAACCTTTGTTGCCGGCTGACTCCATCAAATGAAAAACTGTCCCCGATAGCTTGTCTCATTTATTGTGGTCACTTTTGTGTATTTAATTTAGGCATAGACTTGGTTTTAGAGAGAGAGAAAAAGAATTGCGCCAGGGACAAAGAAACGTTTTCTTTTAGCATCTTTTACACCACAGGTTGATTCATATCGCTTGGATTCGAAATCTGTCTCTTTATGAAAAGGTTTTAATGATATCCCAACAGTTGAGTGGACAGTGAGATCAGATGCTGTCAATAAATCTGAAAATGTATATTAACATTCCAAAAGAATTTTGGACTACTGAGAGCATTGTGTGCGTAAAGTGTGTATGTACAAGGTTGTAACCAGTTTGAAGAGGACAAGGTGGAACATGCTAAGGTTAAGCGCAATCTTCGAAAAAGGGAATCTTGAAGAGCTACCTTCCAACCTAACCTTACAACAGGCGTGTAGTAGTTTATGTGGTAATTTTGCTCTTTCGAAGGCAGATTTTCAAAATCACTTTAGCTTTCATCAGGCTCTATCCATTGAAAGAAGCCAGAAATTAATCCTTGTGCCTTCTTGTACACGCTGCCATAAAGTCAGCTTCTGGATTAACAAGACATATGAAAATTCAAGATGATGCCATTCCTGTTGGGCTTGGGGATCTCCCTTCCAAGTGCAACATTTGCGCGAATGTTTGTAAAAGTAAGGCTGGTTTAAATAGTAATCTGCGCTGTAATGATCAGTTAGTCTGAAAGTTATAAATACAAGAAAGAAATTATTGTGGAGACGGTCTTCTTCCGTCAAGAAGTGAAAATCACCATGTTTGTATGTATGTATGTATGTATGTGTGCTGGTTGGTTGGACGTTTTTGTTTAACGGCATATAAACATCTCTGTGGGTTATTTAATGCCGAAATTTAAATATTTTGCATACAGTTTTTTCTTCTTGAGATAATAATGGCTTTAGTGATACATATTTAACTAATTAACCCATAGCTGGGGAGAGAAGAGGTGGATTCATAACTTCCTCAGCGGTATTTGTGCGTCAGTGAAATGTAATTGGAACTCGGCTCTCTGATTAATAATTCTGAACCATTATCCATAACATCACCCACACATCCAAGCTTACATCACCTGTTACTCCTAAATGGTCACCCATCTAGTTACTGACCAGGCTCGACGTTGCTTAACTTCGGTGATCTTACGAGAAACAGTTTTTTTTAATGTGACATGGCCGTAAGCCTATGTATGAATGCGTGTGTGTCTGCGTGTGTGTCTGTGTGTGGGTTGTTTATATTTTTAATGCTATGTTTCGGTCGATTCATTCTACGACCTTTTTAATTTATTTATTTATTTATTTATTTATTTATTTAGGCGAAACTGGGCAAACAAACGGAAAGTAAAACACAGCAAAGGGCACCGGTGATATACAGAAAAAAAGGAATAATCGAAACATGAAACTTTTAGACTTTTACTTAACCTCAGCAGTTAAAAACGTAAAGAGAAAAGAAGGTTTGGAAAATCTGATACTCACAGGACATATTGAGGGAAAGAGGGACAAAGAAAAAAAATTGCATAACATACTTGATGCGCTTGAGTAACTGGCTAGTATAACAGGGTTTGGGAGAAACATCAAAAAGATATGATTTATTACGAGCTGCAAGGGACAGCAATTTGCGGAGGCCATGATCGCACACGTCCTAAAGAAGCATTTACAAATTATCTACTACCAATCTATTTAAAATCTATTTTGATTTCCATTTTTTAAAGATTTCTAAAGTTTAAACATACACTGCTGAAAGAAAAAGAATATCCTATTCATTCACTACCTGCAGTGAAAAAAAATCCTATTTTTCTTATGTTAAAACGATAGGTCAGCGGTGGAATTTTTAATGGGTGTTAATTTTAATGGTATTCACCCAATACCGCACGTTTCCACAAAACCAAAACAATAACCTAAAACCTCGATTCATGTTCTTAAATAACGTCGTCAGTGCAAGATTTCATACCGATGTGATACACGGCGCCAAACCCGTTCAGAAATATTTCGACTGTCAGTTGTCTACAGCCGTCTTCTCAGATCGATGATTAAAGATAGCTTCTAGCGTATGCAGACCGTAGATGGTAGAAACGACCATCTGTCTTTAAATTTCGTGGAATGGTACTACAGAATCATTAAGAGCTGTGCCAAGTCACAGAAACCACATCACTTGAGGGGATTCAACAACAACTAAAATAGATACATGCAAATAGAAGATAAAATAAAAGTATAATCAAGATGTTGACATTCCACACCACTTCAAACAAAAGGGTAGGAAAGAAACTGCTATCAGTACTAGAAAATCCAATAACAGTTTTTGGACTTGCGAAATCTATTTTACCGAAAAATTGTTTTAATACAAAGATTTTAGAATCATCAGCTGAACGTGACACTGACTGCTCAGTCGATGAAGGCCGATTGTTTCCTTATAAGGATACAAAAGACAATTAATATTGAAAAGAACCCGGAAAACGTTGTTCCACTTTTAATAGGATGAGACTTCGTAAAGGGTTTAACTTTCAATGCAAGGTTTTAACATTTACTTAGATCAGACCCACATAAACACGTACTTTATTACACATAGAAGGTCACACACGTGTATGCACAAATAAAGACGCACACATATTCAGGCGCACAATACTGACCTTAGTTCTGTCTGTACCCCCAACAATGGTGTACGTGTTCAATCCCTACTAAGACACACACGCGAGCGCACGTACATACATATGGACACACGCACTGGACCAAACACTTGCATCCAGTCACGTACGTACACAGGAAGGCGTGCTTAAACCGACAGACTGAATCCCAGAATATCCCTCACGCATAACCGGATGTTCTCGTGCCACGCGCCAAAAATCATGAGCGCGCACAAGCGTCTTAATCCTTAACAAATACGCCCTCTATCGGCAGGCGAGCATATCATTATCTGCGCCATCTTTCCTAATCTTGGAGATTACACAATGCCTTCTACTGGTGTTTGGCTAATTGAATTTTCTTGCTGACTCAGCCAGCACACCGACCCACCGTAACAAACACGTACAAGCAAGTAGCAATAAAAGTTAGAATACCACTGTCACCACGTGCCTCAGCTGCTTTGGTCGGCGCCGTCGGAACGTTAGAAAAGCAACTGAAACGTCAACCGCAGTAACAATAACAGCGGGCATTATAACAAAATCAAATAGTAATATGTCTGCTACGGCTGGGAGTTTGCGCGGGATACGGGCATTAATTCAAACGTTATTAGTTTTAGTAATAATGTTAAGAGCATTAGATTGACAATATTCACAGTTTTATTGTTTTTAACAACAAGTGCAAATGATAATGATAAGCAGTCAACCACTAAGAATCGAACTGCGTCTAATTCTAATGTTACTACTACTACTACTACTACTACTACTGTCAATAATAATAATAACAAAGGATGATAATAAAAGTAAAAATAGTAATGGCGCCGATAAAAACCTCAACATTATCTTCTTTTATGTGCCGTGATGATGGCTCTCTACAACCTCCGCTTTTTTTCTGGTTCTAATTAACCTTTGATTCGTTATCAACGTTCTTTTCACTTTTTTTTTCAACCAGATGAATCATTTCCTGTTTTTGTTGTTGTTGTTGTTGTTTTTGTTGTTGTTGTTCACTTTGGTTTTTGTGCTTCCGGCCATAAAACACTGAAAAAAAAAAAAAAAAAAAACACGCTTCTCGTAGGATCACCGAAGTTAAGCAACGTCGAGCTTGGTCATTATAGCGACAGCTTGGGAATACCAGTTCTTGTAATCTTGGATGTGCGGGTGGTGCAATGGGTAACGGCTTGGATTTAGAAATCGAAGAGTCAAGTTCCAATTCACCTTGAGTTGATTATATTCACTTAGGCGCAATTACGCTTGGGAAATGTATGAATCAACCCCCATCTATGGGCTAATTAGTAGGACTAGTATCAGTAAATAATTATTATTTACCCCAAAATTCTTTCAATCTAAAAATATTTTCTTGTTTTAATAAAGTGAAAATGGTCGATAAGCGGTAAAAAGCAAATCAGTCAATCACAGGATTTTGTTTAGTTTTCGTTTAGTTAAAAATATTCTGATATATAAGGCCTTGGACAAAATAATAACATTTTTTTCGTATCGCTTTTCTGATGTCCTCTGCGTAACCATATTCCTCTGCGTTAATTTGTATCTACCTTTTAAATTCTTTATTATTTTTGCGAAAAATTAATTACTGAATAATAATTATAAGAAGAACAGATATGGTTATACGTGCCATATGAGGCATTTTTGATTCACGCTAATTATTTTAACATCGTCGAGTGAAAATCTGAAGGGTTGAGATATAAAAAGCAAACGACAAGCATTCGCCCTCCTGGTCTACATTTTTGGGTAGGGAGGGGTTGGTTTATTTTGTCTTATGGCATATCAACCTCAATGTGTTATTTAATATCGACAAGATCTTGAGGATAGGTTTGTATCAATAGAATATGTATTCTTGGGAATAATCAGTTTGTAGATCAGATATCATTGATGTATTTTTGTTAAGAGGTTGAGAGAACCGTTTTCGTGCGATCACCAAAGTTAAGCCACGTTGTGCCTGGTCAGTATCTAGATGGGTAACAGCTTGCGAATACCACTTGCCGTAAAGCTTGGATCTGAGGGTTATGTCATGGATAACGGCTCGAGGTTTTTGTTGGCTGATTAAGATGGGTTACACTAGCCACTACTTTCAGCACAACAGATTCGATTTTTATTTGCCTGGCCATTAATCCGTTGGTCATGTCCCCTAGATGCCAGAGATTTAGTCATCGTAAACACGTCTGTCCGTCGTATCCTCGGCAATCTGAGGCGTGGTTATCGCCCCTGTGCTGTGAATGGAACTGTCTTTTTCCTCATTTTAGATGAGAGAAGTTGCTCAACCCCGGAGATACCAACCCTGAAACACACCTTCTTCATTGCACTAAAGGGGTTGGGTCGGTGCAGTACTGATGCCAGCGTGACAGTGGTCGAGGGGTTTGGGTAAAAATCAATTTCTTGCCCTGAGTATGCATGAGTATACGCGTGGCGCTCCCCACGTTAAAACGATTTTGTGTCCCATCCAACCTTGGTAGGGAAGCCGGGTAAATATATTTAGGAGAATAAGAAACGAAAACTGTGGAATATAAGAATGCGTGCTACTTCTTTTCTCAGCATCCATCCATCAAAAATAAGACCGGCGACTATATTAAAAGAACTGGTTATCTGAGAAGGAACTTAACCCTATCACACGGATTTTCGCTTTAAATCAAAATCTGCTTTCAGTAATAACAATGATTTTTATTAATGATTCATTTAATGAGGAGTACTCGAGGTAGAGGGTTACAAATATTACAGTTTATAGGGATATGTGTGGAAGATAACGGTTGAGCCTAGATTTGAACAGGTTTAGTTTGTAGTGATGAAATAAGCATCTTCTTGCGAGTTCCTTCCTCAAAGCAGAGGTTTGTGGCAAGAAGCTACCCGAGTGGAACTTACATCACACCAATGAAATACGAAGCGAATAAGGGTGGTTCTTAGGTTAGAACTGCTGCAACGAACGAATGTAATTAGTCTGAACATTTTTCATGGATATAGCGATAGAACAGCAAGAGTCTTGCGATGTTTCGTCTGTGCGTAAGGTGTTGCAGGTCGGGACATAGGCCATCACTCACAAGGCTGCGTAGACGTATTTGGAGTCTATGGAGATTGGGAAGTGAAGACTGAGAAGCTACTGTTCATATTTGGCACTTTCGGCCTCATCTGGCCATAAAGGATGACAGGAGAAGTGGCGTAATTATTCGAATCTCACATTGATATATATTATACATCGATAAAAGCACCAGACCAGATTTGACAGCAATGTTCAATGAATAGCCGAATAGTAGACTTGTAAAACTGTAAGCTAGATTCATCCGATAGAAATGTCTATCACGAAACAGTAAACGAAATTATTTTCTTATTGCAAACTGATCCAATATAGTCTATCCGCTTCATGCTAGCGGAAAAATCCAAGAAGGCGGAATGAGCCACTCTCTTGGAGGTTAGCATCAGCCATACCGATGAAAGGCAAACTGGATCTCTAAGATGATTAAAAGAGTTAGAAAGAGCAGTTTCGTTTGATGGCGATAGGGGCGTTAAAATCAACAAGTCATTTCTTGTTCCAGTTAACAACTTTAAAAATTGAAACGTAAT